AATCCGTTCTTAATAATTTCATGATTTATTGAGACTCTACGTGCTGCCTTAGCAACTGTGGGCTCACAGGGTCCTGCCTTCAGGATTTTAAGCTCAGTGAAGGAGGTAAAACAATATACTTTCAAACACGTGAAGAGAATTAGAATTCAAAAAGAAGGAAGGAAAGAATTTAATGGCCAGAGCGGCCTGGCATGTCTGAAGAAGGCGCTTGGGTCTGTGCGGGGAATACTGTCGGATGGAGGCGTGGGAGGCCCTAAGTGTGCGGAGGCCACTGAAGCTGCTGCCCGGAAACCTCTGCCCTGGCACCATCCGTGTCTCGTTCTGTAGACCCCCAACCAGCCTTTACGACCCAGAAGGCTCTCGAAGTCCCAAAGGCCTTGCCGAAAAGAGGGCAGTGGGCCCGTGGGCACAGCCGGACCTGCCTCTCGGGCACTTCCACAACGGGAAGTGTTGGTTGGAGAACGTTGGGCATGTTGGCTGCAATCTGTGGGCACACCGGGGGGCCTGCCAGAGCTTCAGGACCACAGTGGGGGCCGCCCTCACTGGCACAGGCAGCGCTGGCCTGGACCATGCCGCTGTCGGCTGGGGAGACATGCCGAGGCCTCTGTCCTGCACTGCGGTCTACTGGAGCTACAATGCCAGCCGTCCACGTGCAGTGGCCCACGCTCTCTGGAGGGCATGGAGGAGGTGATCCCTCACACTCGGGATGGAGGAGCCTTTGCATCCTGAGGTCTCTTGTATTCCTGAGGCCGCTGAGGCCTCATCTAAAGGGCGTTTACAGATTCTAAAATGGGCAGAGGCCTGGAAGTCCTCTGTCTGACCCAGCCCGAGCCTGTCAGTGTTGTGCACAGTAACCCTGAGAGGTTGCCACACCCCTGCCTGCAGGCTTCTCAGGGGAATTCTGTCTACCATGAGACAGCTTGACATTCATCCAGACGCTGCTGCCCTGTACTTCTGCCATTGGTGTAGCTATGGTTCCTGGAATTACTCCTCCTTCCACGGAATACTGATATTCCTCCAGGTTTTCTTCAGATCCCGGGTTCATCCAATCAAGGTCATTCTATTTTAGAAGCAATCTCGTTTGTCTGTTTTGTACATAATGCAGAAAATCGAAAGCCGGATAGTGTTTTGTCTGAATGGATCTGCAGAGAACTGAGACCATTCCCTCCCTCATTCTGCACACTGTACTCTTTGTAATACATTCAGAGATCAGACTTGCGCGTTTTGATCATCACATTGCTTATATGAACCTAGCAGCCGAAGGAAACCTAAATCATTTCTACCAGTGCTGCTTTGTGCTCTCTGTCAGTGAGGTTAGATCTAAATTCAGGAATTTTTTCTATGTTAAATTGCATCTTGTGACGTTTAACTCATTTTTCCAGCCTGTGGCAATCACTTGAATTCCGATTCTGTGTCCTGTGTGTCCCGTGTGAGGACCGGAGCGCTGTGTCTCTCGTGGGGATCGCGCTTCAGAACCTAAGCCAGGGGCCACATTGCCAGGTCCAGGCACAGATCCACACTCTCCGGTGGACTGGCCTGGGCGATTCCCTCCGTCCTTCTAAGTCTTCGTTTCCTGGTCTACACACTGGGGATGATTAGTACTGATCCCTCCTTGGAGAATGTGAAATTTTTTTTTTTAAAGATTTATTTATTTGTGCATCCAGAAGTGGGGTACAGGCCAGAGGTACAGGGGCGGTGAGAGGCTTCACCAGAAACAAAGTGGGGAGCAGAACAGGCAGATCGACGAAGTCCACTGCTGAGGGGAGCAGCGGGCGGGTCAGGAGAGGTCTGCCGCGCCATGTGGTCTCCTCCGGGGCAGGCGGGAATCGAACTCATGCGGAAGTGGCTTTAGCTTCTCAGTGCTGTGCTTTAACCCGCTGCGCCACCAGGGAGGGCCCAAGAATGTGAAATTTTAAGCCTTTAATGAGATTACTTATTAGCACAGGCCCTGAGACGCGTTCATTAGCTGTCGTTACATTGATGATTAGCTACTTCTAGTTCCCTCCTTCACTCTTTTAAAACTGGCTCTCCTGCACTTGGCCTCGGTGTGTCCCGTGCTTGGTGTCCCCTAGGCCTGGTGGCCCCCAGGTCTCGCCTCTGTTCTCTCCCAACACGGCTTCAAAACCTGCAGCATCTTCCCTGTGCCTCTCTGCTGTGCTCCCTGTGCTGGGAGCTCCCACTTGCGTGTCTTCTATGCCTATATGTTCTGTGTCCTACTGAAATTCATTCTGTAGCACACCTTCCGTCAGGCTTCTTTCAGCTTCCACTTCGCCATGTCGGTGAAGGCCTCTGTCCCCTCACTACTGAGCTATTAACAAGCTGTCCCCAGCTCCCAGCACCGCAGGGCTGCTGGCGGGCTTCCGGCTGCTGCCCCTTGCTGCTGCTCAGAAGCCTGCTGCCTTCCACACGCAGCACCAGCCCCGTTCTTCCCTCCGGACCCACCCGCCTGAAAGCTGCAGGCCTCACGCCTTTCCGTGGGATGGCCTCTGCGGCAGGTCACTTGCCTGGACCCAGCTCATCACTGTGCAGTTCAGAGCTCATCACTGTGCAGTTCAGAGCTCATCACTGTGCAGTTCAGAGCTCATCACTGTTTCCAGTTGGGCCTGCGGACAGAGGCTCCAGCGGACCAGAGTTAGACTCCGACAGTATGACTTGGAAAATAGCCCTAATTTCCTATGTGCCATTTACATGTAATCTACAAATACACAGATATATAGTTTTCCAGTAAGTGTAAAAAACATAAATGTAAAAAATTAGCAACAAAACAATAGAAAATGTGTCTACTAGTGCGGGAGAATACTTCAGGCAAGGGGACACACCTCTGTGAGGCCACTGGAACACAGAAGACTTAAGACGGCTGGCAGTGAGGGAAACCTCTACACCCAAAGTGAAAAGAAGTGATAACCCCTGTTGCTGATGGAGGTGCTTCTCTATATTGCCAGTGGAAATGTGAATTGTTAGAGCCTGTTAAGAAAACAAGCTGGTGACCTTATTTGGTCCTGATCAAAACAATTGCAGGAAAGTTTTTTGTTTTTGTTTTTGTTTTGTCTTGATACAATAGAGAAGTGTGAGCATTAACCTTTTGATAGTAAGGAATTTTAGAGATCTTAGTATTCTGGTTAATTTTCTTAGAGGGGTTCACACTTAGCTACTTACTGGTAAAATTGATAGAATACCTGGGATTTACCTTGAAATAAACCAGGGAGCCAGGAGTTTGGTGGCTGGTGAGAAAAAGCATGGGTCAGCCAACTACAGGCCGCATCCAGACACCCTTGGCTCTGCAAAGAAAGTCCTGCTGGTCCCGCACGCTTATACGTTACTGCAAGTATCTGCTGAGGCGCCTGTTGCCCGCCAACCACAGACGTTAGTTGCAGGGGTCAGTGCATCCTGCTGAACCTGAGGTTTACTCTTACAGAAAGTACTGTGGCCTCACATCTGCCAGGGAGGTTGTTTGGCTGCGTGTTCACCGAGGTCACTGTTGGGGTCTGGCCATGCTGTGGCCTACTAGGGCCTACTCCACTTTTGTCTCTGTATGTGTTTGGGCTTTTCCATAGTAAAAAGTTTAAAAAAATAAACTGTTATTAAAAAAAAAAAAGATCCAAGCTAAGACTTCTCCCAAAACCCTAAGAAAGTGGCACTATGCAGCTCTCTGGAGTCCATGTGGCATTGCCTTGACGTTTTTGTTACTATTCTCTTTGCAGTATAATGTGGAAGAATGAAGAATGAGTATCAATATATCAATATATCTGAATGTCAAAACTCTAATTCAAATGTCAAGACCATTCCACAAAAAAAAAAGTTTAAAAAGTTAGTTCTGACCCAGTAACCTCCCATCTAGGAGTAGGGATCTGTCCCTTGGAGGTGGGGGGTGAGAGGCGGAAGAGGGGCAGTGTTAATTACTAAAGCTATATGGATAAGCGTGCTCACTAAGCTTTTTCTCCAAAGTTTAAAATAACTGGAAATAAATTGATTGTCTACCAGAGCAAGAATGCTTGAATAAATCCACCCACACCATATGATAAAATGTGTTTTAAAAGAATGAGCTAGTTTTCATCAGTCCATTTAGAGAATTTCTCGAGAGCATTTCAAGTGAAGAAGGCAAGATGTAGGGAGATGTCTATGTAGCAATCTGTTTGTATAGACCAGAGGTAAATGAATCCCTTCTGCGTGTGTGAGCCAGAGAGACCTAACAGACTGTCAAAGAGGATTAGGAATAGAAAGGACATAAAGCAAAAGAAAAAGGAAAAGCCTGCACTTAAAAACCCCTCTGTGCTATGATCCTACCTCCATGATTGTGTTAGATTCACATATATGTTGGCCTTGCTGATTTAAAAAGCTGTGGTTTCAGGAGAGGTCTGCCGCGCCATGTGGGTCACCTCCGGGCTCAAGCGGCTGTGGCCAGCTTCACAGTGCCGAGCTCCAACCCACTGCGCCAACAGGGAGGGCCCCAGAGTTAATATTTTTAATAAAATATTAGAAATAATAGAAATCTGGTTAGGAATTAGAAAATGCCTAATGGTGAGAAAGCAAGAAAGAGAGTGACCGCTGCTAGCCTGGACCAGCCAGAGAAGGCTCCGTGGAAGGTTCTAGTGGTGAGAGCGGGGTCTCTGGACAGTCTTGCTCCCTGATCTCAGGGCCTCTTCCTCCTGCTCCCAGAGAAATAATGTTTCCCCGGGGATGAAAAGCATCCCTTTGTGTAGGCTTTAATTGCCATGTTGTTGAGCCAAGTGGATGAGTGGCAGGCGCAGCAGCTGGGCACAGCCAATGCCAGGCAGCAAAGCCCACTGCCTTAGCAGAGCCCTGGCCAGCTGGCCTGGGAGCCCTGCCCACCTCTGCCCCCAGCTGGGGTCCTGTGCTGGAACACTGGGCCCTAGGGTCTTGGGAGAGCAAGAGAGGAGTCATTGGATGGCGGGAAAGGGCCGGGCTTCTGGGAGGGTCTAGCAACTCAGAAGCGCATTCATCTTAGCCTCCCTCCCCCGCCCCTCCCTCTTGTTTTTCAGACTGTCAGCATCAATAAGGCCATTAACACGCAGGAAGTCGCTGTAAAGGAAAAACACGCCAGAAATATCCTTTTGGATCCTGCTTAGAAGGCTGACCCTGGGGAAGGGGTGTCAAGTTATGGGGACTAAGGTCAGGGAGAAGCATCCTTGCTCAGCGGAGCAGGGGACCCCCCACATAGGCCGGGTCCGCCCAGGCTGTGAACCGCATTGGCTGGCAGCCACCTCAAGCCCTTGCCTCCTTGCCTACTGCCCTGCCTCTCTCCTGGGACTGCAGCTTTTCAGAACCTCTGAGTCATTTGAAGTTACCCTCCTAGAGATGTTTCCTGAGGCACAGAGGGCTGCTCACTGGGTTGCCAAAGTGCTCCAGACCCCGCCCTTTGTTCTAGCAAGACACTACCAGCCCCTTGGGGACATGATCACGCCCCTTCTCACCCCCAAGCAAAGCAAAGGGCCTCGCTGCTGTGGTTGGCCTCATGTCCATGCAGTGGTTCAACCATGGAACTAGGGCACCTGTGTGAGCAGGTTTACCCTGAACCAGAAGGGGGAGAAGCAGAGAACCTCAAGACAGAGTAGGACACGTTGACTTGAAGGTCTTCGCCACCCAGCCCACCACGTGTCTGGCTGTCCCGAAGCAGCTGGACCAGCCAGCCTGCGAGGCTCTGGTCTGTGGGCGACCACTCTCCTGACTCGGCTTTGGCAATAAGTGAATGGGGCCCTTGGGGTCTGCCCTTGAGGTGTGGCGTCTGAGGGCTGGAAGGCTTGCTCAGCAAGGGCCCCTGCAAAAGACATGGCCCTCTTTGGGGAAAGTGTGATAAAGTGGATTTTATTCGAGGAAGACACTTTATCTCCACCTGCCCAAGAATTGCCAGACTGAGTTTGCAGAGGTGAGGTGTGGCCACTCTGAGCCGTGTCCTTGGAACAGTGCACAGTCCTGTGTGGGCTCCAGCCCAGGGGCTGTCATGGGGCAGCGCCTGCACCTTTGTTTTCCATGACCCTCCCTCACCGTGCATACTGGGCACCCACCATGAGAAAGGGGCGCAGACCTTCTGGTCTGTGGTCAACCGGCTGCCTCTCTCCAGCAACGCCGTGCTCTGCTGGAAGTTCTGCCACGTGTTCCACAAGCTCCTCCGTGACGGCCACCCGAATGTGAGTCCCGGGCCACGGCTGCAGGGTATGGGCGGGGCGCTGGGGCCGTGGGGGGTGGTCGCCTGGGCCTCAGGGCCGCCGTCCACACCCACACTGAGGACCCAGTGGCCCCTTTTCCTGGCCTCTGGGTCAAGGATTAGGGCCGGTTGGTCGGTGTCCCATCAGCCTCTCCTCGGTCCCCAGACCCAACTTCTTTTTTTTTAATGAGTAATATAGTAGTTTATTTTTACATCATTTTGTGCATTTTCCATTTCAGTTGCAATCCCCATGGGCTTCCCATCACCAGATCACCCCTGTGCCATCACCATAGTCCAGTGCATTTCCCTCCCCCCACTATTTTTGATCCCATTCCCCACTCCACCCCCATAAAATGTCTCTGGTACATAGCTGTTCATTATTATTATTTTCTCCCCTTTAAACTCCTTTCAACTCCTGCTATGAGTGAAACCATCCGGTATTTTTCCTTTTCTTTCTGGCTTATTTCACTAAGAGTGATCTTTCCCAGCTCCATCCATGTTGCTGCAAAAGGCATGTGTTTTATTATTATTATTACTATTATTATTATTATTATTTTTTTGGTTGCTGAATAATATTCCATGTGTATATGGACCACATCTCCTTAATCCTGTCATCTACTTTTGGGCATTTGTGCTCTTTCCATGTCTTTCCAATTGTAAATAAAGCAGCAATAAGCATAGGGGTGCAGGTGTCTTTTTGAATCAGTGTTTTCGTGTCTTTTGGGTAGCCCCAGACCCAACTTTTAAGATCTGTACCCTCTTCTTTCTTCCCTCCCCAGGTCCTGAAGGACTCTCTGAGATACAAAACCGAGTTGAGTGACATGAGCAGGATGTGGGTGAGTCTGGAGCTGTGTCTGCAGCCCCCTTGCGCCTGCCTCCTCATCCCTCCCCAGCTACACAGAGCAGGGACTGTGGCGTGGAACAAACGTGCACCTCGCGACTCGTATAGGCCTTGTCTCCCGGGCCACAGGGAAGCCGTGGTTGCCTCCACATAGTGCCACATTATCCACATTCCAACCTGGGCCCCGGAAGCTGTGGAGAAATCCTCTGTGCCTGGGAACATCGTCTGCGACAGAACCCCATGTCGCAATGCTCCCCAGGTTTGGGACCCCTTAGCACTGCCCTGACCGAAGTTCCCACCTCTTTCCCTTCCACGGCTCCCACTGGGGTCACAGTGATTGAGAAGTAGCACCCCAGTCTTTATGCCGGCGCCTCCTCTTTCCTGTCTGGGGTTTCTTGGCGCGGAAGGTGGCCACATCAGGATCAGCAAAGAGTGTTCTTACACCCTCACGAGAATCCCTAGGGTCTGATATCCAAGAAGCATGTGTGTAGGTGAGGGGTGACCCGCACTCAGACGAAGCGCCCCAATTGATTCCTGGCCGCCGCTGGTTGAGGACTACCGTGGTCCTGTCCTCCCCGTTCGCACCCGTGTCTGTCTGCACTCTCAAAAATCACGACTCTGGCCCCATTACAGATGAGGACCCAGGCACCCAGGGAAGAAAGCAGCTCTTCCCTGGCCACAAAGCTCGTAACCTGAACAGGGCTGTTTCCCCCACATCTCTGCGCTGCGCCCAGAGAGCATTCTGTCACATCCCTGTAACTTAGAAAGCTTTTTTGATCTTTTGCCCTTTTTTGGTAGAATTTGACCCCATCTTTTTCCCATCCTTTTCCTTTCAACTTTCTGTATCCTTATATCTTAGAGTAGCACTTGTGAATAGCAATTAATTGAATTTTGATGTTGTCTGTTAACTGTGCATGTAACCCCATTCGCATTTGTCACAATACATGTTATGTTTAGATTTGTATCTCCATCTTATTTGGTGCTTTCTGTTTGTTCCATCTGTTCTTTCTTTCTTTTTTTTCTTTTCTAGTTCCTTGCTTCCTTTTGGTGTTGATTATTTTTTCCATTCCATTGTTCCCTCATTACAGGTTGGGAGGTTTTTTTACTAAAAACCCACTTTTACGTTTTGTATTTTGGATACTAGCTAATGATGTTAAAATGCATGTTTAGGGCCCTCCCTGGTGGCACAACGGGTTAGGATGCAGCACTGCAAGCTAGCCGCAGCCTCTTCAGTGCGAGTTCGATCCCCGGCCCCAGAGGTAATCGCATGGCGTAACAGACCTCTCCTGGCCTGCCCGCTGCTCCCCTCTCTGTCTCTGGTGAATCCTCTCACTGTCCCTGCACCTGTGGCCTGTACCAATTCTGTAGCATAAATAAATAAATCTTTTTTTAAAATGCATGTTAGTTTATCAAGGCCTAAAAGATGTATCTTCATCTTTTCCTGTGTAACAACACAAAGATCTTAGAATATTGTAACTCTGCTTATTCCTTCTTTTATGCTATTGTTGTCTCATTTTAATTTTGATGGGTTTTCTTTTCTTTTTGAGGTGAGAAGGTTGGGTTTCTTTTCAGACTCTATAAGATATTTTATTTTAATTATTTTCCCCTGTCCTCTTCATCTCTTCATTTCTCCTTATAGCTCAGTTCTTCCATCTAGAGGCACTTTTTTCTGCCTGAATTATTTCCTTCAGAATTTCCCTTGCTGAAATCTGCTGGTAGCAAACAACTATTTTTACTTATTTGAGAATATACCATTTTGTCTTCCCACCAACAGTGAATGAGAATTCCTGTTGCTCCACCTTTTTGCTCGCATTTGGTATTGTCAGCGTTCTGGATTTTGGCCACCCTGATAGATGTGTGGTCTGTCTCGTTGTTTTAATTTGCTTTTTCTGGTGACATGACATGGAGCTTCTTTTCTTAGGCTTATTTGTTACCTGTAAACTTTCTTTGAAAAAGTGTCTATTAAGGTCTCTGACCCATTTTTAAAAATTTTTTTTCTTATTATTCAGTTTTAAGAGTTCTTGGTCTATTTTGGATGTACCCTTTTTCAGATGTCTGTTGCAAATATTTCCTTCTAGGCAGTGGCTTGTCTTATCAGTCCCTTGATACTGTCTTTGAGAGCAGTTTTTCATCTTAAGGAAATCCAGCTTATTAGTTATTTCTTTCACTGGTTGTGTCTCTAAAGTGTATCTAAGGTGGCATCACCATACCCAAGGTTATCTCGGTTTTCTCCTGCGTTATCTTGTGATCCTTCCATCTTTTACTTCTTGATCCTTATTTTCTTATGAAATGCAGTTGTCTTTGAGGATGAGCTTATTTTTGCATTTTCTGCTTTTTTCTTTCTAATTTTTCTATGACTTAAGTGTAATGTAAAAGTAATAAAATGAATTTTCATTGAAAATGAATACATTATTAAATCCTGTTACCTTTGCATGGATATAGTCTATAACTTCCTTGATTACTCACCTCTCTTTAGTGCCCTTTGAGGTATATTTCAATGCTATAGAGAATATAGATACAGTTAAAAGAAAACATAGACATCAAAACTCATAGTGGAAACACAGCTACTCAGTTTTAGGGGTTCTATCCTTTTTTGCTGGAAGTTGCCAGCATTACTCTGCTGATCCTAGCTTCTGTGTGAGCGCCCAGGACATGACAGATTCCCTGGGAAGGCTTATTCTTCACCAGCGAGGACTGATCCCATTTCAAATCCCCAGCCCATGTAGAGCGATTAATCTGTTGGAGCCTCTCTGGAGGAGGTATTTCCTCTCCTGTGCTTAGAGACAGAAGAAAGGAATTAGTCTATAGACTGTGGTTACTAAGAGTGGGAGATATAACATCCTTAAACAAGAAGCTTTCTCTTGAATTTACCCAAAAGAAGTTCTCTTGTTTGTACCTAAGATTATACGGTAGAATATTCATTTAAACATAATTTATAATTTTAAAAATGTGCCTGTAGTGAAAATGTACAACAGTAGGGAATTAGTTTGATAAATTACTGCACATACTATGATGTATTGGGCAGTCACTAAAAATAATGACACAGGAGAAATTTTAAGCAGATGGGAAAAATTGCAGTGTATTAAAATGAAAAAAATTTTTGGTTCTATTTAGAATATACAGCACAGAGAATTTTTAAGGCATTGAAACTACTCTGTATGATACAGTAATGCTGGTTATACATTATATATATTTATTAAAACTCACAGAATGTACAATATCAAGGTTGAATCCAGAGGGAGACTTTACTTTGGGTGATAACAGTCCATAATAGGTTCACTAATTGTGTTACTCTGGTGCATGATATTGGAGGGAAATTGTGGTGGGGTCCCCATATACAGGAAATCACTGCTTTCTGTTGAATTTTGTTGTGAACCTAAAACTGCTCTAAAAAATAGTCTTTTTTTAAAAAAAAAAAGATTAATTTATTAATGCATACAGAACTGGGGCATAGGCCATAGGTGCAGGGGCGGTGAAAAGTCTCACTAGAGACAGAGTAGGGAGCAGAACAGACAGATCGAGGAAGCATATTGCTGAGGGGAGCAGTCGCCAGTCAGGAGAGGTCTGCTGTGCCATTTGGGTCACCTCTGGGGCCGAGGATCGAACTCGCACTGAAGCGATTGCAGCCAGCTTGCAGTGCTGTATCCTAACCCTTTGCACCACCAGGGAGGGCTCATAAAATCTATTTAAATTGAAAAAAATCAAGTGTCATTTTGTACCTGAAAATATTGGCCATGATTATATCTGGTTAACATTAAGGGTGATTTATTTGTATATGTGCATTTTTTTTTGGAAGATTTATTTTTATTTATTTGTGCATACAGAACTGGGGTACAGGCCAGAGGCTCAGAGGCTTTGAGAGGCTTCACCAGAGACAGAGTGGGGAGCAGAACAGGCAGATGGATGAAGTACACTGCTGAGGGGAGCAGCGGGTGGGTCAGGAGAGGTCTGCCGTGCCACGTGGTCACCTCCAGAGCAGGCGGGAATCGAACTCATGCAGAAGTGGCTTTAGATTCTCAGTGCTGTGCTTTAACCTGCTGTGCCACCAGGGAGGGCCATGTATTTGTGCATTTTTTATATTTTGCAAATTTTCAACAGTAAACATGTTATTTCCATAATCAGGATAAAAATTCTTTAACACAGAAGTCTTGGCTGTAGGTCTCTCACCCCAGATACCTAATACTGATGCCATTATTTCTTTCCTCGTTCCAAAAGGGTCACTTGAGTGAGGGGTATGGACAGCTTTGCAGCATCTACCTCAAACTGCTGAGAACGAAGATGGAGTACCACACCAAAGTGAGTCTCTCCCGCCGCCACTGGCTTCCCCTTCGCCCCCAACCCCTCACCACTGTGCCCCAGTGGGATTCAGTGAGTGAGTGATAGAATGAACCACAACCGGAGCAGATTGAATAGCACACAAGGCCGCTGTCTGACGGAGAGTCAGGAATGAGGCCGGCCCTTCCTCTTTTGAAACTGGAGGACAGGAAGGACAGCTGGGTGCATTTGCAGGAGGAAGGGATCGGGAAGCAGGCTGCCGAGGGAGGTGGTTCCAGTGATGAAAGAAGCAGGCACGTGCTGTGTGAGACAGCCTGGGCCTCAGACACCGGGGCTGAGGGGGAAGAGGAAGCCATGAGAGCATGAGGCTGAGGACGCTGAGGCCAGAGGGCATGCGTTTGTCTCCACACCAGCTGTAAGCCCATCTCCAGGGACCTTGGGCAGCCAGGCCCTGGATGTGAGCCCAAGATTCAGGCTCACCAGGTTTTAATAGCACCGGAAAAGGCAAGTCACGGTCACCCTCATAGCGTCCAGCTTGAGCCAGGGAGTATGGCAAGAGGCTGCCCACCGACCAGAAAAGCAGGGTTGCTAAGGAGCGAGTGTGGTCAGATGGAGGAGCAGGAGTGATGGGCCAGGAGCAGGGAGGGTGGGGGGAGGCAGAGGGCTGGCAACGTGGGAGCTCTGTCTTCAGAGTCTGAAATGTTCACCTTGGAATTTAGAAACGCCCCTTGACAAGAAGGTCACCCGTCCCCACCCATCCCTTGCCATGGTGTCCCACCCACTCTGGACAAACCATGCTATATTAGGGCAGACTATGCAGATACCACACAGTGATCGCTGGTGTGCAGGATTTCTCTTGTGTGGGAATACATGACGCAGCATTCCCTACCTCAGAGTGTGTTTTACTAATCAAGTTTTTCTCAAGGTGGTAGAATGGGTTTGCCCTTTCTCAAAATAGCAGCTTCTTCAGGAAAAGACAGTGGGAGGCCCGGACAGGATTCAGAGGGTATGAGCCTTGTGGGTGGCCAAGGGCCGGTACCTCTCACACGGGGGGGGGGGGGGCAGAACAGGCAGATCGACGAAGTACACCGCTGAGGGGGGGGGGGGGGGGTCATCATCCCTCTGGAGAGCAGCGTTAGAATGTCCAGGCCACAGGCGGTCAGAGAGGACCCTCTCCTGATTCTGAGCAATGAAATGGAGGCTTCACTTCTGATGATGGTAGTGGATGGTAGTTGCTGTGAGCAAACTGAGGTGCCCGTCAGTACTGGGGGGGCAGGGTACATGCTGATACCATCTCCCTGGATTCCCATTGCTGCCTGAGCCTAGTGCAGATAGTTTGATTGAAATTGACTTAATTGGGCTGATTGGAGAGCTCTGAGCTACCCTGCTCTGATTCCTTCCTTGGCCCCCCTACCAGAACCCCAGGTTCCCAGGCAACCTTCAGATGAGTGACCGGCAGCTGGATGAAGCTGGAGAAAGTGATGTTAACAACTTGTAAGTGGCCGTCCTCATGCTCTGGACCTGTGGGGAAGCTGTCTCTTCCTGTTAGTGTTTCAGGGCCTGATGGCAGGGGACAGGGCTGGAGTGGGGCCTAAGCCGAGGGTGGTTTGGCCTCTGGGCCCCACTGCTGGTGCCTCGCTCAGCACGGCAGGGCTCTCTTCACGGGCACCTGCTCCGGATGTCCAGCACGGTGCCTGACCTCTCCCTTTGCTGCTGCAACTGTGGAATTTGTCCTGCTTGGTCTTCAGATAGCTTCAGTACCCACTAAGGAGGGGGCTTAGAATTCGAGCAGGCGTGTGTGCGTCCATGTCTGTGTGCATTGTGCACACTTGTGTGAGGGGGTGACGCTGTGTGCATACGTGCATGTGCACGTTGGGGACAGAAGCAGTGGGGGGAAGGGACAAGTGACGTGCTGACCCCGAGCTGTGGGGTGTAAGCTCTCTTTCCTCTCGGGTCCAGCTTCCAGTTGACAGTGGAGATGTTTGACTACCTGGAATGCGAACTTAACCTCTTCCAAACTGGTGAGTCTCGCCCTCCCATCTGGCTCAGGCTCTCATGAGCGAGGCCTCGTGCCCAGCCTTGCTCCCTGCTTGGACCGACCGGCCCGGCCACAAGTCGTGTGGCATGAGGGGCAGAGAAGACAGGCTGGTCACACCCTAGCCCTGCTCTCAACTGTCCTTCCGGCAGAGGGCCTGCCGCTCTGGGCTATTTTCAGAGCTGGCGATCTCACACCTGAGCAGAAAGACAACGCTCCCCACCCTGCCAGCCTCCCCTGAGCCCAGAGCTCCAAGCACAAGATGGATCCCGCCTCTTTGACAGCCCTGGACCTGTGACCCCAGCTCTGGCCGGTCCGTTGACCCAGCCCCGTCTGCTACTCAGAGCAGGGCTCGCGCGTGGGGGCCTCCTGCTCGGGAGGAAGGGCTCCTGTCTGCGCCACGGTTGGCAGACGGCAGAGGAGTGGCTGAGTTGTGTGATTGCCCCGAGTCCACATGAGCAGCCCCCAGAGTCCCTTCCCGCTAGCCACCCCTTGGGGCTCCCAAGTGTCTGCAGGCCGCCAACCCCTAACCCTTCCCTGACGAGACTCAGGAACGGTGTCCTTCTCTCCAGGGCCTCTCTCCCACACCTCCCAGCAGGGCTCCCCCTTCTTCCCTTGGGGTCAAGTCAGTTTTCTAAGATTCAAGATGTTCCATGACAAGCGTCCAGTTCGGTGAAAGGGAGCCCGTGCTTCAGTGTCTGTGCCCAGCACCGGGACACGAAGGCCCACTCTTGGGGCTTGGCTTCTCTCGGGAAATACCCTACCTTCCAGTTCTTCGGCTTGCCACCTGTGCACCTGTACTTAGAACTGGCCTGTTAGGTCCCAGACAGACTCAACATACAGAATTCTGAATACTGTGGCGAAGTCATCCAATGCAGGATATAAATAGAGAAGCCCCAGAACCCTTAGAAACCATGGCTTGTGACAGAAATAAGAAGATACTACACCTACTAGCAACACCTTACAAAAGTTGATAGAGAGATAAAAATATAGTCCTTGCCCTCCGGCATCCCCAGCCAGATAGGAGAAACGTGGTTAGGTTTTTGTTTGTTTTTTAAGCATCTGGAAATGTTTTTAAAGCATTTGGAAGTGTTTGCATAAAAGATAATGCAGTCATTTGGATATGCTCGGGGGAATACGTCTGAATTCCTTGATATGGGCTTTACTTGAAGGCAGATTTGAGTGATGGTCTTGGGGTCATCATGCTGGGGAGAGTCCAGTTGACCCAAGTTCTCAGACCTAGCCACCTTCCCGGAGCCTGCTTCCCTGCCTCCGCTGCAGAGGTTAGGGGAGAACAATTCGATTGTTCCGACCTTTGCCGTTGTTCCTCTTAGACCTGCCAGACAGCTGGAGTGAGTGAGCAGGGGTGGTGATAATGTCGATAGGCTTGAGTAGCCGGGAGCGCAAGGGTGTGGTGCTGGGAAGCCCCCAGTGGCCAGCTCAGCCCCCCCTTCTGCTCCCACATCCATGACACCTCCTCTGTTTCCAAGTGCACTAATGTTATTGTAGTAGCTGCCGAGCTCGTCTTCCAAGTCGACAACCATGCCCTGCTCATCGCCATTCGAGTCCCATGCCTCAGCTGGGGACAGTACTCAACAGAAGTCAAGAATGGTTGCACTAGATAAACAGTAACAAAGAAATAACAGGTGAACAGAGCTCATCCAGTGGTGTCAACATGCACCTAAATGCTGTAAGCTGTCGGAGGTGAATCAACCACTTAGAATTTTCTAGAGCAAATGACCCAAATCATGGCACAACCCCCTGCCCCCTTAAGAGAGCACTGATTTGGAACCAAGAGCCCTCTACTATCCATCTCCTGCACCTGCCCCCCACCCCCAGGCACCCGCTGCGAGCTGCAGCAGTGAAGAGAGCTGGTGTGGGAGAAGTCTGCAGCATCTGAGCACTACTGTGTGGCCCTGCGAGGTGCCCACCGATTCCCTTGGAAGGGACCACAGGTCTTCAGCTGTAGGAAACTGCAACCCTTTATTGTTAACATTTGGGGTGACACTTGCCGTGGCTCTCAAGATGTACTCTCTGGACCAGCATCATCAGCATCCTCTGAGGACTTGTTAGAAATGCAGGCTCTCAGGTTCAGCCCCAGAATACTGAAGCAGAATTTCAGGGTGGGGAGATGGCCCAGCAACCTCCGTTTGCGAGCCCTTGTCTGCATTGTCCAGTATGGTACCTTCTTGTCACACGTGGCTATTTAAATTGCAAGTTAAATAACTTCTAGAATTGAGTCCTTGGTTGCACTAGCCATATTCCAGGCCCTGAGTGGACATACACGGCTAGCATATCGAGACCATTTGCAGCGTCACAGAATTCTGCTAGACAGCACTGCTCAGGGTGAGCCTGATACATACTCAAGTTTGAAAATAATGAGCCAGGGGATAGGGTTTTCAGCCCTGGCTCCACGTTAGAATCATGGTGGATGGGGAGGATGCTTTTGAAACCTACAGATGATCCAGAACTACTCCAGACCAATTAAAACAGAATAGGAAGTGGGGAGTTACAGGCAGACGTGTAGCTTTAAAATGTGCCCAGGTGATTCTCATCAATGTCAAAGTTGAGAAGCTCTGCACCACGCTATGTCCTTGACATGCACATTTCATTCTTATAAGACCCTTAGAGGGTTCCTGCTACTCTAACCGTTCTACATTGGACACGCAAGCTCTGGAAGCACAGAGAGGGCAAGTAACCAGTCCATGGTCACATTGCTCTCAACACTGTCCGATGCCAAGGGGCATTCCTGGAAAGCAGCGGGCAGGCGGGTGCAAAGCGCGTGTAATTCCTTGCCAGAGTGCAGCCTGAGGAAGCCAGTAGACGTGGGGATGGCCGCCTTGCAGTGACAGCTGCTTTTAATTTGTGTCAAGACGAAGAAAAGCTGCCTTTTAATTAGAACAGTTTGGGATTTTTTTTTTTTTCAGTTGCCAGACTAACCCAGTTAACACGGATTAGTGCAGTCAGGGAAGGCAGGACACAGCAGCTCTGGGCTTGCCTCAGGCAGCCCCACTCCCTGAAGGACTGCAGGGAAGGTTTTCCTTGCAGGCCGTGGGCACAGTCTGGAAACAAGGACCAGCCACTACAAGGAGAAAATTGGTCCTGGCTAGTGCTGGGCACTGAGGGTCAGAGCCAGGCACCTCATTGTTTGGGTTAGGGGTAAGGGTCAGGGGCAGTTAATGTGGAGGGTCTCTGGGGCAAGACCTGGGAGAGCAGCTTGCTCTCAGGAGCTCAGGAGCCTGGAGGACAGTGCTTCTGATCCCTGGCTTCCCTGAGGACCTCTGTCTCCATCAGCCTTTCGTTCTAACAGTTCTTCCTCCCAGGCCCTTGCCTTAGCCCTGTGGCCTTCTCAATTGTCCACCCAGGATGCCTGCACAGCCCCACTCTGGTGCCCCACGAACCCTATGGCAAGCCCAGGCTGACTGTCTCTTCTTTGTGTTCTGACCACCAGCAAACGGGGTGCTTCTTGCATTAGTGCAAGGCAGCCCCATGGGCTATCTTGACAGCCTCTTCCCACCCTGAGATTCGGATTCCCCGCAAGACAGGGGTCTTTCCGTGAACAACAGCCCACTTGCCATTGTATAAGAACCTTTGCAAGATGATGTGCTCCGCTCTTATCTGATCAGACGAGGCAGAGCCCCAGATCTTCAGAACTGGAAAGGGGATTCTCCATTCCAGGTCATCAGAAAATCTCTTCTTGCCCAGCTTCCACTGGACAATAGAGAGTAGAGCCAAAGTCTCCCATTTACACCGCATGGAGCCAGGCTTCTGGTCTACCCTGCTGGCCACGTGGGCCCTGTCATAACACACCACCTCTAGGACCGCTTCCTGGCTCTGCGATCCCCATCAAGTTGCTTACCTTCAATTTCTCGCCCATATAATGGGGAACCTTTGCCTACCCCGTGTGAGTGAGCACATGTACAGAACAGGCTGGATCTTCTGCCCCCCTGGGAAGGTCACATGTAACTCCTCACTCTCCTTCCTCCTTGTTTATTCCCCAGTCTTCAACTCCTTGGACATGTCCCGCTCTGTGTCAGTGACCACAGCGGGGCAGTGCCGCCTTGCCCCGCTGATCCAGGTCATCTTAGACTGCAGCCACCTCTATGATTACACTGTCAAGCTTCTCTTCAAACTCCACTCCTGTGAGTACACCCGAGGACCACCCCTGGGAGGCTCTGACGGGTCCTCTCAAGGGCATGGGCTTTCTGCTCTCTTCTGCCCCCTTGAGGCTAGAGGAGCAGGCCGATGCCATCCCATCCTCTTCCTCCACATCACCCTACGCGTCCTGTGTTCTAAGAATCACACAAAAAGATAACCGGCCTGGCTCCACGGGAACAAAGGCAGTGAGTTGCTCCCAGAATGTCCATTGACGTGATCTCTTTGTACAAATTACTGTGGGAAAATAGAAGATAGAGCAGTTCCAGTAAATAGAGGGCTGCCCCCTAACTGGCCACAGATTTCTGGGGTACGTCCTAGAGTAGATTTTAAAAATGACTGGTCTTGTAGAAGTCCTTGCCCTTTCGCCTGCGTCTTGTTTAAAGCAGCGCTGCTCTGGGGCTGCTGGGCCAAGGTCCGCATAGTTGAAGACTCGCCCTGGTGAATCTGGTGTAGGTGATGACTAGGTCACCTAATCAAAAATTGCTACAATTTTAAAAATAAGACTAGAACTTCTGAGCTGTGATCTGTTAAGTACAATTCACAGAATCACAGTCAGGGAGGTGAAAGGGCCTCCGAGAAGGCAGTCTGTGGGGAGGAGGCTGCTGTCCATCCAGCATCAGCGAGCTGGCAGTGGGCACTGAGCCACACCCCCACGCCTCCGTCCTGTGGTCCTGCCTCTGACCGGCAGTCACCAAGTGGACTCAGTGGCTCTCTACCAGACCCACATCCACCCAGGCCCCAGTCGAGACACCCAGCGTATAGGCCCCTGGGAGGGGCTCCCTGCAGGGCCTGTGGTACCCATCGCACTGTCTGGTCAGGCCACGCCGCCTTCCCCGTGGTCAGTCCCCATGCCGACTGGCTCACACTCCAGGACCAAACAAAAAGCTCTGCAGGAGAAGCAGCCCCGACTCCCTGCTGATCCCACTGGCTCCATGGTTACCAGTCCTGGGGTGCTCTAGGCCAGGAATGTCTCCTCTAGACAGGACTGGCCCCGAGCTCCAGGAGGGGTGGCCTCGCCTTCTGGAGCCTGCTGGACTTGCCTGCTTGTCCCCTCTCATCTTCTCCATTCCTCCCAGGTCTCCCAGCTGACACTCTGCAAGGACACCGGGACCGCTTCATGGAGCAGTTCACAAAGTAAGGGGCTTAGGTGAAGAAGTGAGGGCAGATCAAAAAGTGCTATCAGGTCATTTCATCCGTGCGAGAGTTCTTGCTTTAAAATAATTGAAGGGTAAGGATGTCTGCATTCTCGGCAATAAAGAGGAGAAAGTCACTAGGGCGGCGGCACCCCAACCAACAGCTTGGAAGTTATGGGGTCTAATGAGCCCACAGAAGCATCGGGAAGATGTCATTCATCACCTGCTTTACACCCAGCACATTTTTTTTTAAAGATATAATTTATTTATGCTTACAGAACTGGGGTACAGGCCAGAGGTGCGGGTGGTGAGAGGATTCACCAGAGGCAGAGTGGGGAGCAGAACAGGCAGATGGACTGACATACACTGCTGAGGGGAGCACGGGGCGGCTCAGGAGAGGTCTGCTCGCCATGTGGGACAGCTCCCTGGCTGGGGATCGTGCTGCAGTGGCTGCGACAGCTTCATAGTGCTGCGCTTTAACCCGCCGTGCCCCCAGGGAGCCTTATACGCAGCATTTTATCCTCTTTTTCTCCCTCGTTTCATAAGGTCTCCTATCACATACATGCTACCAACCCCACACAGGTGTCTCTACGCAAGCCTTACTGCATTCTACTCACCTACCCAATTGCTGCTTGAGGCACCGAGGCACCAAGACTAAAACTCAAACCGGACAATAGCTTTTCCTCCAGAAAATACTGCCACCATCCACCATTTTCTTCTTCCCCTTGTCCAGTACAAATCCGTTTTGGCTCCGATGGTATCCCCATCTCTTCACACCCCTGCTGTTTGCTCCAATACTGATGGGACTCAGGACTTCCACCCCTGGCCCCTAGAATCCAACAGCCAGGAGATACCCAGCAGCCAGAGTACCCTTGTGAAGATGCACACCCCTTGTTGGGGTGCCTTGATGGCCCCTGATCACACCGAGAATGAAATGCAAGCTCTTGCCGTGCCTCACAGGCCCTGCATGGTCTGGCCCCGCCTGCCCTGGCGGCCCCCCTCACTGCCCCCCTGGCTGCTCACTATGTTTCAGACCCCTGTTCCAGTTCCCCGAGCCCACGGTGCACCCCTCCTTCAGGGCCTTCCCACTTGCTGACCCTCCCCCAGGTCCTCCCAGCCTGGCCAGCTCCAGGTCATGTTTGGCCACCTGGCCCTCACACAGGCTGTGGCAGTGCCGTATTTCAGTTGGGCCGCCCCCATCTCCCGTTCCTCCACACTCACCCCACCCTGTACCCTTTATCTCGACACCCAGCTTATTTCCTCCCCAGCTCAACGCACAACTGCGTTTGTTTGACTCCTGTCTGCTGAAGTGCTCAAGAAATTATCTGAATGGATTAAAGAGCTGCTTAGCCAGCTGTCTAGTCCAGGAAAGGTAGTTTGCCTGGCTAATGGGTTGGCTGCTCTGGTGCCTTTGGGAAAGAACACTGGTCGTGACCAGAGCAGGTTGGCTCATCCTCGGGGTCGGTGCCCGAGAGGACAGGAGGGAATGGAAGAGAGAGTAATACCGAGGGGCTGAGCAGGGCTTCCTGGCTCAGCCCCGTCCGTCTGCCTGGGCCTCCATGTTCTTCCTGTCATTTCCTCGTCCTTGACAACGGGAAAGCGCAGCGCCCAGCCCCACCGCCCGCTTCTCTTGCTGCTTCCTCTGCCACAGTCAGAGGGCAAGCTCAGGGCAGCCCTGGCCCCTTGCTTCCTCCTCCTGTTTGAATGGCTCTCTGCATTTTCTGTAATAAGTGGCTGATGGAAACCCTAGGAGGCAGGCCCTGGGGCTGACCTCCTGGAAGGTACGTTGGGAGCCTGACAGCAGGAGCCCTACTGTTGGCTCCAGCCCAGGGAGCTGGGGCCGTGGTCAGGTCACTCCACTTCCCTGCTCTTTTCTAGCTGAGAGCTCATCTCCTGAGAGCGGCCGCCTCTCTTGCTCTCCCTACAGCCCCAGCCACTCTCTGAGGCCCTGTGGCCCTGGAATTTGTGAAACACAGCAATGGCGCCCCAGAGACACACCTGGCCTGGGGTCTGAAAGGCAGCTGGGGGCGCGCGTGGGGTTGCAGTTCCTTGGGCTGAGCTGGACCCGCTGTGCGTTGCGGACAGAGGGTGGAGACCCAAGATCTTCCATCTCAGAGCATGGACGTCTGGCTGCTCTCTGCTTTCTTAGCCTCCACAGTTTAGATCACAAATGGAGAGAAGAAAATCTTGGTTTATTCCTATCCGCATCCACCCAAGAGGCAGACAACATAAATAGCTTTTGTCAGACAAATAGGTGTGAACTCTGTGCCTGGTACTGGAGTAAACTTAGCTCAGCGGGGGCCCAGTCTCTGCCCTCTGGTGATCCACTTGGGGAGATAACAAATGGATCTCAAACTAGGCAAATTGATTTTTTTTTTTTTTTAAAGAGAGACCTGAGTCACCAAGTTCCCTTTCCTTTTCCTCTGGTCAGTTGGTTTAGCCCCAGGGAAAGTAAATTGATTTTTTATAAGGTTGATTTATTTATATATATAAGAACTGGGTACAGGCCAGAGGTTCAGAGGATGAGAGGATTCACCAGAGACAGAGCAGGGAGCAGAACAGGCAGATCTGTGCTGAAAGACACCGCTGAGGGGAGCAGCAGGTGAGACAGAAGAGGTCTGCCGTGCCATGTGGGCCATCTCCTGGCCGGGGATCCAACTTGTACTGCAGTGACTGTGGGTAGCGTCAGTGCTGAGACTTAACCCCTTGTACCACCAGGACAGCCTAGAAGTAAATTGATTGGGATATCACCGTAAGCCAGACATCCCCTATCTACCAGCCTACATCATACATTCCATAGTGCCTCAGAAATTAGTTTTTGTATGCTGCTCTTCCAGAGGATTGTGGTTTGAATTGTTTTTCCTCACCACCAGCTAAGCGAGGACTAGCTACTAATAGTCTTTCCCTGTGGCATCATAATTGAGTCCTGGCGCCATAGAGGCCATCTCCTAGACAGCCAGCCTGTGCCTTTGGGATGGGCAGTGGTAGAAAGGCTGGGGAGTCTCACTGTCCCCTCCCCGGGGCTGGTGAGGCACCCAGCACCCCTCAGGCCTGTTTCCACCTCCAGGCTGAAAGATCTGTTCTACCGCTCAAGTAACCTACAGTACTTCAAGAGGCTCATTCAGATCCCTCAGCTGCCTGAGGTAAGGTGCCTGCTCATACTCTGGGAGCTTCTGAGCCCCAGCGTCCTCTCTGAAGAGGCCAGCAGGGCCTGGTGGGTGACCATGGGTTGAGGATGTGTCTTCCTCTCCAGAACCCACCCAACTTCCTACGGGCCTCTGCCCTGTCAGAACACATCAGCCCTGTGGTGGTAATTCCCGCTGAGGCCTCGTCCCCTGACAGCGAGCCAGTCTTGGAAAAAGATGACCTCATGGACATGGATGCCTCCCAGCAGGTGAGGACAGCTGGGGAGAGAAACGTGCCCCTTCCCCTTCCTCGAAGGGGAGGGGAGGTAGGGGGAGAAGCCTGCCCAAGACTTGCTGGATCGACCAGGTTCTTCTAACCCATGCTCTCACTGAGCATGCTGCTGCTGACCAAGTTAAAAAGGCTCCATTCTTACTTGTCACTCATCTGACTCACACGCAGATGTCTCCGAATCTCTAATTTTGTTCTCTTTTTTGGTCACTGCAGAATTTGTTTGACAACAAGTTTGATGACATCTTTGGCAGCTCACTCAGCAGTGATCCCTTTAATTTCAACAGTCAGAACGGTGTGAACAAGGATGAGAAGTGAGTCCGAGCTGGGTTCAGGCAGCGGGTACAGAAGCTGAACGGTCCGACCGGCAACCCTAGCGGTGGGATCCCAGTGACACTTGGCGTCTCCATAAATGTCTTGACCCTAAAACGTAGTCTCTCTAATCCCTGAGGAAGGTCTGCTGAGGTGGAAGTAACTGTGGACCCATGCATGGGTGGGTGAGAGTCGTGACTGTGACCCCGATGGTCTTAGAGTGTAATTTATGGAATTTCAAAGAATCATCCCAAATTAACGCCAGCTCTTAAGCGGTCTCCCTGCTCACGTATTTAAAAGGAGAGGGGTAGAAGCCCAGGGGAAGCCAGCTTGCTCTTCTGTCTCCAGGGATCACTTAATTGATCGGCTGTACCGGGAGGTCAACGGGCTGAAGGTGCAGCTGGAGAACTTGAAGACAGAGGTACGAGGGGCTCAGCTCTGCCTCTGGACTCTGCCTCACGCCACGCACTTGTACACTCAGTTCCTTTGAGGTCGATGCTGACTGGACCGCATCTTTCGGGGCATGTGGGCGTCAGGGGCAGGGATGTTAATGAGTAGAAATGCCAGAGTCAAAAGGTGCTGGTTTTCCTGTGGTCTTGGTCACAGCACACTCCTTGCTCCTCACCCTGAGTGCGTCTTCTGTGCGAACCCCAGGTTCCCCGTACTGTGTTGAGGTGATGCTGATCACCACCTGGCTGTCACCTATGGAAAAAAGATCTGTTCTTCTCACGGGGCAAAGGGAAGGGCTTGAGACAGCCCTGATGGCTGTTGCAGAGGCCAGCACCGTCGTCCTCCCGCTGCTCAGCCCTGGGCTGGCCAGAGGCTCACTTATATCTGCAGGCGAAGCGCCCTGTCCTTCCCTCCTACCAGCCCACCCTGACAGGACCGGGCCTCAGCCCTGCTGTTGGGAGGGTGGCTGGTAATGACCGGAAGGCTCAGTTCTCGTGAGGCCTGGGGAGCAGGCCTGTTAGAAAATCCTGGGTATCTGTTTGGTCACTGCTGGGTACACAGCAGGACCCGGCACTCTACCCCAGGGCGGCGGGTGACTGGTCCCGGGTCCCTCTCACAGAGCCAGCGCACAGCGCTGCAGCTGAAAGGCCGCATCAGCGAGCTGGAGGCTGAGCTGGCCGAGCAGCAGCACCTGCGGCAGCAGGCGGCCGACGACAGCGAGTTCCTCCGGGCCGAGCTGGACGAGCTCAAGAAGCAGCGAGAAGACACAGAGAAGGCCCAGCGGAGCCTGACAGAGATAGAACGTGAGAGACTGGGGGCCAGGGTGGGGCTGTGGGCCAGGGTGGGGTGAGGGGAGACTGTGGGCGAGGGTGGGGCTTGGGCCAGAGTTGGGGGACTGTG